TGTGAGATGCTCTGTTGTAGAGAAGCTTACAAAGTCAGCAATGTTCACAGTGGTGGTGATAGGAACCAGACGTCTGAAGAGTTTAGTGCCTCTGAAAGCTCCCTCACAGACGATTACTACATGAAATGGTTGGATATGTGCTGCCTGATATCTGACACATTGTTTTATGACAGCTTTGTTATACGATTATAAAGTTTTCAACCCCAACGAATGACTATTTTATCATTGTCAATATTACCAGTGGTGGATAGTAACGAAGTAAATGTAATTCGTTACTGTACGTAAGTAGTTTTTTCGTGTATCCGTACTTTACTGAAATATTTCCATTTTTGGTGACTTTTTACTTTCACTTCACTACATTTCAAAGTCAAATATCTTACTTTGCTACATTATGCGAAATCTGTTGTTCCTTTTGGCTTATGTGTGCATAAAAACGTAACGTCAAAACGAAAGAAGCATGATGCAAGAACACCAATCAGGGTACAGTGCACACTTTGTTTTGAGCTTGTTTTGACCTGTTGGACAACCTACCCCGTGCAGACATACGGTTCAATGACAGTGCAACAGCATAAAAGTTTGGGAGAGTCTATTCCTACATAAATGATGGAGGAAACTCCTGACTCTAACCAAACTTTGTGTAAATGGACCACAATATAAAAATATGTACACATATGCAGTTGTAACTGGCATGAGTCTTTTTTCTGAATTTATACAAACACTATTTCATTTAATAGTAAATTTGTTTTGGCTAGTTTATGTTTATGAACAAAGACCTACAGAGGCAATATAGTAAAGGAAAACTCATTTGTGAACCTGTGTTTAAAGCAAGTTTTATTAAATTTAAACTTGTTTAAATTTAAACTAATTTTTATTTAAACTAAGTTGCAATTAAATCTTAAACTGAAACTTTGCTTGTTCGCAAAAGGTTATTTCATAGCCACTTGCTTCTACCTAATGGAAATTGTTTGCCTTCAGTGTTTTGTGCTTTTGATAATATTAATCGACATCAGCGTCAGACTAATTAATGACATTCTATTAAAATATTTTTTAGTGTCACAAGAGTGAGACTAGAATATTTTCACCTAAAATGAGTTAATGAAGCAAAAATAGTAATAGGACATTAGAGCCATAATTAATCTTTTAGTACTTTCACTTTTGATACTTAAGTACATTTGAAGGCAAATGCTTTTGTACATTTACTCAAGTGGAGGTCTAAAGGGAGGACTTCTACTTTTACTGGAGTAATATTTTACCTTTGGTATCTCAACTTTAACTCAAGTACAGCCGTCCACCACTGAATATTACATATAAAAACTCAGGAGGCATGTGTAGGTTCACTGGTGATTCTGGATTGTAAAATAAAATGGCTGTATTTGTGTTGTAGTCAAGGATAACCCTCGGTTTCTATCAGCACCACTATACAGAAATTAAGTCTATAAGTTCCTCTACAATTATTCATTTTACGTCAAACCACTCTGAATGACTCTGCCTCCATTCTCAAGGACTGAATAATTCAGAAATTTTTAAAAATTGGTGGAAGTGCCAGTTAAATAAAAATATGTTCATGATTCTAGCATTTACATTACTGATAATAATAAAATGGTAGATTTTGACAGGATTGTAACTCCCTTGCGCGCTCATACATTGTTGCAGATATCAAATGTTCCTCAGTCTGTTACCATGAATAAGGAAAATCTCTGCTTTAGACTACAGACTTCCAAGATGAGGGCACTCAGCTCTGCTCCTCTGCTTATCTAGACTAGGAAAGCGCACAACAGGCCACAGAGGAGAGCTTATGGACTTAGCTATAGAAGCCTGTGCAGATGTTGAGGATTGAGAGTGTCCTCACCCGAGTCACTTCAAGGGCCTATATCCTACACATATCCTACATACAATAGTTACATTTCCATAGATAATACAGCCTCACTTTGTACATTTCATGTACGTTGCTAAAATTAATCCACTTTACGTGAGATATCCTAGCCCAGTGGTCTCTAACCCTGTTCCTGGAGAGCTACCTTCCTGCAGAGTTTAGTTCCAACCTGTATCCAGTAAGCTTACTTAGCTGTAATATCTACAGCTCTAATCATTTCTGCCTATTTTAGAAGTCCCTCAGTTGAACTACGCATTTTTTTTCTGAAATGATGATAGAATGTATTAAATTCGTGAACAAGTCAAATCTATATGTGTTTTTGTTGTGTTCACATGTTATTTGTGTTGTGACAATCGTAAACATTTTGTAAAAAAAAAAATTTATGTTCTGCTATCCATTACATCAGCAAACCCGTGTGCGAGCCTGTGAATTGTTTTCATAGCAGTGGGTTCTCTCCCCTCCCCTTTTACCTCCAATTGCTCGCTAGCAGCTCAACGCAGAGTGACAACAGTTCAGAGAACCAACAGTGTCCAGTTAATCTAATGTAAAAAATAATATTAATTAAAATTATCAGAGTCAGTTTCCATTCCACTATGTCGGTTTCCATAATGACCATGATGGGGCCTGCAGAAAGAGTCTACTCTCAAAATGATCCTTTGCATTGTCACACTCATGCTGTGCTGTAAAGGATGAGTATGTAAGACGCTTTACATTCCACATCAACAACACCTAAAAATACTAAAAATACTAATGCAGCCATTCTAGATTAATGTTTTCCTTTTATCTTTGCTGTGGTTCACACATCTTCACCAGTCAAGAGGTTGTCAACGATAAACATCTTTTAAACTGGCCATACACTTTCCAACATGACTGCTAATAATAGACATGATGAAGTTGAGAGTGAATCTTTAGTGAATCTCCATTAGAGTGAAGCTATGTCTGGATATGCTGCAACCGTAGAGGCCAAAAACCAGGAAAAAAACAAAGATGCCTGTCCTAAATGAGCATTTTACTGTGACATTCTATGTGAACAGAGATGGAAACTGGTTATGTTGTTGATAATGAATATATAAGCAAGTGACCATTCCTGTCCTTTATGGTCATGTTACATTGACAATGCTCTCTTGCTCTCAGGACTATTTACCACTGCAGCCCAGTCAGTGATAAAACCTCCTAGTGCAGAACATGCCCAGTGATATCACTAACTCTTTCTAAGATATTTTGGGATGCTTAAGAACTTAAAAGTGCTGTGTTAAGTAATCAACCAACTTATCTTAAATATTTATTTTTGCATTTTTATAAGCTGACACGGAGCTGTACAACCACATTAAGATTAAGATAAGCATTTTGAAAGTTCAGAGTTTCAGAATTTCGATTTGTTCTTTTTAAAAAAATGTGTTACTATAGATTTCTTTTAAAAATTACCCATCACAATTCACTTTCTCTTATTATTACATTATGTGGTTTACAGCCTGTTTTTCCTGAGGCCCACAGCTGGTAGGCAAATAAACCTCTGAAGTTGTCTGTCAATTCTGTAGTCAGTGACATGCCCAAATAAAGAACTCCAAGCCATTTTTCTCTATAGAGGAAAATTGAACAGCGATTTCTAAAGTCACTTCTGTTGCACCCTGTGGTAAACAAATATGTTCCAATCCAACACATTTTTTGTGCTATACATGTTTCCATTAATGCCACTGGGTCTACTGAATTACAAGGTGATTTAGATAAAAAATAATATGAATTTTCCTACATGCCTGCTACAAGCAAGCTGAATCATCTACGCATTTAATTGACTTCACATTAAAAGACTATCACTCTGCTTCAACTCTGTTATACACTTAACTGCCACACTTACACCTAACAAAGCTTGCTGGTTTTGTCACGCATGTAACGAACTCTCAGGGAGAGTCGGACTCCATTTCCCAGAATACTCTGGGAGATCATGTGACAGAGAGACTTCATGCCGAGTCGGAGTCAGAGAAAGACTCCAATACCCACAAGTCACTCAAGGATCACGTAACTTTGGACAATGTTTCACGCACCTGTCAACAATCAAAGTCTCCTGAGTATTAACCTGTTTCACCTGTCCTTTTATCATGTGATCTGTTTAGCTTAGTATTTAAGCCCGGGCTGTAGGTAGAGTCAGTGCGAAGTATTGTTTCCCAGCGAACTTACTGAGCGTTTCTTTCTATCTGTATATTTATGATTATCCGACCTTTGCTTCGTTCTTTGATTTGCCTCTTGCCTGTCCCTTTTGTACCGTTGCCCTGTCTCTTTTGATCTGTGTTTTTTGAACTTGCCTGCCTGTTTTTCGACCACGTCTTTTGCCTTGTCCCTTTGGTTTTGTTCGCCTGTTGTTATGATCACCATCACTCCGCTTTTTGGTTTTGATCCCTGCCTGTGTATTGACAACGAGCCTGCTTAGCGATAATAACCTTTTTTACTCAGTTAATCCGCACGCGTCTGGATACTGCTGTTTGGTTACAGGTTTGTGCTTCGTATTTTGGTGAGGTTGCCCGTATTATGATGTCCGTACAGTGTGTAGCAGTGTTAATTTGCATGTAGCAATATTCGTATTTTGGCTCTTTAAGAACCTCATAATTGAGAAAATCTGATGATATTCGGGGGGGGAAATGCATGTATGGCAAAACATGGGGAGTAACTAGTATTGCTAGTATTACTAGTATTAGTAATCTTATTAATGCCCTCTTCTGACACGAACCACTGTACCATTGTACACATTTCACATCTGTCAAGGTTCTTTTCATAGTACTTATTTGCAGAGGGTGGTAGAAAAGCCCAAACTTGAAGTTAATTATTGTAATGTTATTTCTGCCAAACAGCAAATCAAGTAGAAGTAAAAATATTCTTAAAAAAAAAAAAACTCAAATAGAAATACAGAAGTACCTGGTAAAAAAAACTGCTTAAGTACTGAATAACTGCAGTGGAACTTCTTAATACATCCAGAATCTACCAGCATAGGAACTATACTATCCTAAAAATATAACAGTTGCAAAGCAGCACAGATGCTGTCAGCAATAAAACCTAATGAAATTAAACCACAAAAGGAATTAATAACTAAAGGTTAATGGCTAAGGGGTTAAGGGACCAGTTCAAGGTTACTTACGTCTCAGTTTTGTTTGACTGGCGTCTACAGGGCACAGTGTTGCTGAGGCAGGTGCCAGTGATGGGGTCCACAGCCTCTACGATCACAAATGGTCTCTCTTCAAGTGTGGCCACTGTCAGATGACGGTTGTCAGACACCGGCTCCATGTATGTTCCATATCGTGGCCAGACCGGGTAGCGCATCTGTAGAATACCCGACTCATAACTTCCCACCTACAGAGCATGAAGGAGAGAATGATTTATGTGAAACTTTAACACATTTGTTTCTTGGTACACAATTTACAGGTCCATGCATATATGGTGAGTATACCATTGTCCATTTAATCTAGTCTAGGTGCATTTTTTTGGTTCTACAATTACAAGTTGTAGCCCATCTGTTTCACTGCATAATTTATTAGTCTTCCTTTATGCCATTCATCAATTGTCAGGGCCCCACTGAACTCCCATTGAGTAGATATTATTTAAGTGGTAGATCATTTCCAGCGCTGCAGTGACATTGACATGGTAGTGAGACATGTTAGAGTGTGTGTGTGCTGCACAGAGTGGGTCACACACAGAAGTGTTGCTGGAGTTTTAAAAAAACAAAACAGTATCACTACTGGACTGAGAATAGTCCACCAATAAAAATATCCAGCCAACAGCATCCTGTTGTCAGAAAATGACCATTGATGAAAGAATAGAGGAACAGAAGTCTAACACAAACTGTGCAGCAACAGATGGGCTGTCATCTCTAACTTTACATCTACAAGGTGGAACAACATGGTAGGTGTGTCTAATAGTGGACACAAATTGGACACCATGTTTAAAAACTCCAGCAACACTGCTGTGTCTGATCCACTTGTACAAGCGCAACACATACTAACATCCCCCTACCATGTCACTGCAGTGCTCAAAATGATCACCATCCAAATAATGTCTGCTTATTGGCAGCTGTGACAAAAGGAGAATCCAGGAGAGGCCTAGACTTTCCTGAGCTGGGATGGGTTAAAGCTCACCACTTTGCCAAAAAAGCATTAGCAAATAATACAACAGTTTAAGGACAACACTGCTCAATGAGTGCTTGCAAAGATTTTGGGTATTTCCCCCTCCATGGTGGTTAATGTAATCAAAAGATTCATGGAAATCTGGAGAAATCTTTGTGCGTAAAGGTCAAGGCCAAAAACCACAGCTGTGACTTTCGATCTCGCAGATGGCACTGCATTAAAAGCCAGCATGCTACTGTGATGGATATCACCACCTGGGCTTGGGAATACTTTGACAAACCATCATCAATAAACAGTATTCATCTCTGCATTCACAAGTACAAGTTAAGACTATACTGGGGCCCGGGGGATGGGTGCATGCCATACTGAGGAATATATGCTACCTTTTAGACGCTGTCTTTTTCAGAGACGTCCATGCTTATTTCAACATGACAACACCAAGCCACATTCTATACATTTTACAACAGCATTACTGTGTAATTAGAGACTAGCCTGTCTGCAGTCCAGACCAGTCACTCATTAAAAACTTGCAACGCGTTGTGAAGCACAAAATGCAGCAATTAAGGCCGCATATGTTGAAGACTTCTGTACAATAGAAGAATGCCAAAATGTTCTGCTTTTAAAACTGCATCAGTGTTGTCAGTCCCCAAATGATTATTAAGTGCTGTTAAAAGGAAATGTGATGTAACACAGTGGTAAGCGTTCTCCTGTCCCAACGTTTTTGGAAGGTGCTGCAGGCATCAAATTTGGAAAGGGCATAATTAAAAAGTTTTTTGGACTTGAAGTTTGCCCTTATAAAATGGACGTTGATTGCAGACACAAGGTAGTTGTACATAAGGAACAACGTTAAAAGCCAACAGTGAGTGCATAGTTGTATATCTTACTTGATAAAATGACTTTTCCTTCCATATGTTCATCAGTCAGTCGGTTTAACAGTATTTAAAGTGGATAAATGGCGTGTAGCTGAGTCTTATTGTTTTGAGTAAACACGATCTGGTCGTTAACTCTAGAGATCACACCACCTGCAACATCCCTGGAGGCTTTGACTTTCAAAAGTATATTTCCTCTCTCAAATCATAATCAAAGATCTAGTTTTCGCTTGCCAGAGTGCACACTGCAGAAGACCCGTCTCTTTGTCTCCATCTGCTTCAATTAGCGGATGTTTACTCTTTGCCCATTTTGTATGCAGTGCGTGGGATTAAGCCTCCATGGTTAATTTCCTTTTCATTCTGATGACATAGCAAATGAATGGAATTTTTTTCCAGTAGATCATTGTCAGAAAACCGCAAGGAGATAAAGAATGTTGTGCTGTTGTTGTTTACTTTCAAAAATAATGATGCCACATGTTCTTAAGTACTTTTCGGGGCAAACATTATACCCCAGTGTCATTATCTAAATTAAACATGTTTAGATTATAACAACTGTTAGAATACATTATGAGCAGTAAGACAATTTCCTGTAAGATTTAACCAAGGAAGTGAAATAAAACAGATGGACAGGGGGAACAAAACTTTTTTGGCCAACTACTTGCTGATTACTTTGTGGCTAGTAGAGCAATATTTTTGTATAACTGTACTCATTATATTTTCCTGTGTTTGTTCAGAGATGTAATAGCAAACATTGATTTGGCATAACATTGATTTTTCATCAATGTATAGATCGCTAGCCAGAGAAATCATACAATAAAAGCTCAGAGAATGAACCAAATTAGCCAGAGAGTAATCTTCCAATCTAAGTATTAAGACTGTATTCTTAAAAAGCTTTCAAAATCAGCAGCTATTCGAATTTAATGATAAAGTCCTTATCTACATAAAACAGTTTGTAATGCTGTTTGTGGGCTACCTTCATAGGAACATGATTTAAGATCTAAATAGTGTTTAAAAACCATGTATACTTCAGTATTTATGAATAGCTTATTTCAATATTCACAAGATGATATAAGATGCTTTATGAAATAAATAAAATTGTATTGACATAAAGGTCTTTATACTGTGATGGACATTTACAACACTGTAACAAGGCATCATTCACAAGAATTGGAACTTAACAGGCAGAGCTCTAATTAGGAATATTGTCGCTGCCAGAACAAAACCTTGTGTCTCCAAAAAAAGAAAAAAATATATTAACTTGTAATTGAAGTTAATATAACAGCATTTAATTTTAAGACTTTTCTGTTCCATTCATCATGAAATTTTGGCATAGTTCAAAGGGTAACTGGAGTTTTTAAATTATGCAAAACAGTATCAATCAGGAGGAATGGAAATAGAATGTTTTGCACCAAAGCGACAATATATCAGTTTGATAAAGGATCAAACTAAAGTGTTTTTTCACCCATGTTTTTCCATATGAAGATACCAGAGGTGGACAGATAACAAAAATCCTACAGTTCGGTGAAAGTAGTAAGTTGTCTCAATAAAATATTACTTGAGTAAAAATAAAAATCTATCTTTATTTTTACTTGAGTTTAAAAAGTACCCATAGCAAAAGTATTGTGAGGTATTATAGATATTGTGTTATTATTTTGATGATTTCTATTAAAGGGATTTGTGTGGCTATAGAGAGACAAAAATGTCTGTAGTCATGTAACTCAAGTAGAATTATACAATTGTCCATAGCTAGACCACTTCTGAGTTCCATTACTTCAAAAATGCTGCTTCCTAACAATGTTATAAATTGACCAAATGTCTGCCACTTTAACATAAGGGCCTTTATGTCAATACAATGTAATTTACTTCATAAAGCATCATGTTATCTTTTGAATACGATATAAATTGTTTGTAGATACTCAAGTAGTGCTTTTTAAAAACTTTATGCAGTGCATGTGTTATAAAGTTGATGTGTTGGTAACCTTCATAGAGGGAGTTACCCAACCATTTTTTGAATGGCCCAAAGAACAGCAAATGTGATGTCATATTTTATTTTTTCCATGTTTATTAATCACCTGTGGAACAGGAAATAACTCCCACAGCACTTTCTGCATAGTAAAAAATAAAGATAAATAAATAAATAAGCTGGCTGCCCTGAGATTTCTTCTGTATTGATTTTTGCGCTTGTTTAGCTCGGAGCAGCTTATGGGCCTTGTCTAAAGGCTGTGAAGCCTAAATCTCATCCGAATGCGCTCAGATGAAACAGATCTGCGCCCTGTGGCTTGTTAGCGACCGGGCTGCTAGCAGAATTAAGCTGCTAAGGTCGCCTGCAGGGCATCACTTTCAAAAAGCCTTCACAAGCAACATGCAGTTCTTATCTGCAGTACACACTGCCACTGTCATGCTTTAACAAGAAGAAAATAACGATGGCCAAAATTTGTTTATGGTAGATGCGTGACTTGTGTAACAACAGGTTTTTGCTTTGGGGAATTTTTAGTGGACAAAGGGGATTTAGCCGGCTCCTGTGGAGTATTTTTTGCTTGACTACAGTTGCAAAAATGAATATTTGAAAGTTGAAAGCATTTTTTTTCTGGAATTGTCATGTTGGAGAAAACCTAAATTGAGTTTGTTGCCTTACGAGTGTATATAAGCGGACAGATTTGGAGCAAATCTATTGGCTGTGCAGTGTTTTCTCTCTCTCTTGAAACTAAACTCTCTGTCCATCTGGCAGTGATTAAAGCCCCACATGAAATGCTGGTGCCCTATACTAATCACTGTTCATCTGTCTGTTTGTCTGTACATCCGTGCACACATTTGACTTCTCTGCTGTGTGTTGAGCAGGGTAGACCATAATGCATAGCAACACCAAACTTTTTAAAGTATTTTGCAGTACTCATGCAAGCAAAGTGACTTGGTTTTATGGTGGCGCTTTAGCTATATATGTTTCGCCCTATATTACTTGCGCCTTTGTTTCCTGACTTATGCACGGCTAAGAGACCTTTATGCCATTTGTGTGCATTTATGTGTATTTCTGCTCATTTACACTTTCTGGATTTACTGGATTTTATATCTTTAAAAGCATTTGTACATGTTAACAATGTGGATACCAAATGCCTGTCAGTATAGTTGACCAAGACAGCTAGTACTTATGAATACTTTGACTGATTCTGACAATATGACACACACTGCTGCTTAAAGGTTTGTGAACCCTTTACCATTATGTGAATTTCTACATAAATGTGACCCACAATATGATCAAATCTTCATTTAAGTAACAATAGATAATGATAACCCAGTAATACAAAGTATATTATAGTTTATCAATTATTCATTAAACAAAGTATTCCAAAAAATAAATGTCTTT